GGTGAACCCAATCAAGTAGCGACGAGTTGCCCCCATCAACGTGGGCAGGCACATGAAACGCGGCAGTGATTCAGAGGAGTGGACAGAGGATTGATCTTTTGGGCTGTCGACAGCCTCGCCACTTTGTTTGTCAGATTGATCAAGATTTTTTCTCAGGCCTCGTTCCAAATCGGCTTGCTAGCCGTGTTGGTGAGAGCTACGTCTAGGGTACTGGTACCGGTAGGAAATAGTAATGATGTGAGTTTTGATGAAGATACAAGTCCTGGTACAACGTACCGTAAGCTACGTAGCTGGCTAGAGGACGCACATAATATGCATACCGGTACCGGTGCACTCTTTCTTTCGTTCATTTAATCGCGAAAGGTCAGCTGGAAACCATCTCTAAATCCCATTTCTCTTCTCTTTGTGTACTCAAATGTTCATACTGGTTAAGAGGCCAGTATTTTTTGGACCTCAGACCTCGCTGAGTCGTGCAGGCAGGATACTGTTGAAGCCACCAGTTACCCGTTGTTTGTTTGTTGTCACAATCGTTCTCATCTTTGTTGTTAGTTGTGGCTGCCTGCCAGTTGTTGCATTCATTCATGAGATAGATGTTGAGCCAAGATGACAAAGACCGCCTCATCTGATGATGCAACGTACGTGACATGGGCCCAGTGCTTTCATCCCGAGAATGCCACGGTAACCTTTGAAGGCAGTCCTTTGTGGACGGTCTACGAGGGTGCTCGAGAGGATCTCCCAGTGGCCGAAGCCGTGCCCGTGACTGCAACAGAGCCAGCAATCCATGACCTGGGACGAGTAGAGGCTCAGGTGAGTAAAGGTCGACGCCCGTTACAATGGCAGGATACCGCTCACACCTCTCTGTTTTCGTACGTACTGTATTGCAGGCACCGCCACCACCTCCCAGCGCACCACTGGAACCAACTGCTCCCACCTCTGCAGCGGTGGTACCTACCACTCCTCCTCCTCCTCCTCCTCCAGTATTCACCGGAACAGGAACAGAGCCATCCCCCAATGTTTCGAATCAAAGCATGGGATTGGACCTCATTGTCGGATGCATTCTCTCCTGGACAACCATTTTGATTGTCGCCAGTTTGGAGTTGACAGGTTGGTTGATCTACTTTTGCGCAGCCGGTTGTTGGAAGGTAACCAAATGCATGGAACCACCGAATGTCTTTACGGGACTGATTTACAGCATCTTTGGCTTGGTGTATTGGGTTTTGGCTCTGGTGGATTCGATTCTACTGCTGGTGTCCGTACTCGTATCGGAGCTCATGGCGGGCATTTGCTTTTTGCTGAGTACCATGATTGGTGGTTGTGAACTAGCGGGCCGTTGGCATCAGTACATTCGCAAAACATGTCACAAGGCACGCTGGGCCTTTCGATCCAAGTTGATTTGCAAGGACCCACCACGCATCTTTTGTGGCATAAGTGGTGGCAGTAAAAAGCAGGATGAGCACGAGACATCCTCGGAAGGCAAGGGATCTGCGTTGGCACTGCCTCTTGGCGATCCTCTTGATGAGAATGCCATTGTGGTGTATGACGAAACAAGACGCAACTAGCTAGGGAACAGCAGTATCCCAAGACTTTATATATAGCTCTGCACCTTATTTACCTATGTTGCTTACTTAGCACGTACTCGGCCCACAGGGGAGACTGTGCTGTACAGATCAAGTTCTTTTTGCAAGTTAACCTGTGACAGAACTAGAAGAGTACAATATGGTATCATCTCTAGCTAGCACATTTTAATTATTAATGAGTATGAACAAAGATTGGACGGAGGCATTCGGTCCTTTTTCAAATTAACATACATGGCACGGCATTTTCTTTCTTCCTGGGACCACAACCTCCCTGAAGCTGTCAGAGAAAGAACTCGTTTTCCTTTCAGATCAGGTTGTTGATTGAGTCCACATTTTGTCAATAATTTCAGTAGAACACCAACAACGCCACTGTGGACAACAGCCTGGCACCCAACATCAAGTAGTGTTGTCTTGTACTGGTTGTAGCCAACGACTTGACACTACTCACTTCCGCATCCACACGAGAAACGAGGGCTTCTTCCTCTTCGGTTGCAATTTCAGCACTGCTCTCTTCTGCCTCTGCCTCTTCTTCTTCTTGTGGTGGTACTACAGGAGGCGACGTGATGTTGGAGTTTCCTTCAGCGACCAACGTGTTGTTGACTATGGGTCTTGTGGGCCGTGGTGCTCCACCACCCCCCATGGGCGGCGATGCGGTCGGAGTATCCTCGCCGTGTGGCACGGAGAGTGGATAGTCCCCCGCGTCGGTAAAGGATACGGGTGCGGCTTCTTCTTCGGTGTTGGTGGTGGTGGTTGTTGGCACTTGAGTAGGAACAGCAGTGGCGATTGTGGGTTCCATTGTGACGGGAGTGGCTGTGGGTTCCGTGGTCACTACTGGTGTGGGTTCGTCTGTAGTAGTGCTGATTGTTGTTGTGGTAGGTCCTGTAGTTTCAAAGGTCAATTCCACTCCCTCTCCCGCCGGTCCGTCTCCATCGGGACGGGTATTTTGACTGCCAGCTCCATCTCCTTGAAATTGACTGTACGCCGCCGGTAGCAATCCGACACTGATGGAGGTTGTGAATCCAGTATCGACCGATCCGTCCATGGACAATGTGAGCAAATCTTGTACAGCCGCATCCAATCGATTGAAAATTCCATCCTCTGCGAGCGGTGTCACGGGTTGTGTATTGGTATACTGTTCGGCAGTTTGATATTGTTCCAAATCGTCGTCACTAATATAAAACTGTGTCGTGGCAGCAAAGGGCGTAGCTCCCATGAATCGCAATCGCAAATGATAATGAATGGCCCGTCCGGTGTACCATCCCGGCAGAATGGTGCGGAAACGAACTTGTCCTCTGTCGTCCGTAATTTGCACACCGCGACACCAGACTTGTCCTTCGGTTCCTTCCGAATCGGCGGCCGAGTAGACACCAGCGGCATCGGTGTGCCAGAGGAAGACTTGAATGTTTTCCATGAACGTTCCACCCGTGGTTGGATCGGAAATGTTATAGACATTGACGGTCATGTCCATGGGAATCCCATTGACGACCGTGGCTCGATCTTGATCTCCAATTCCAGGGGCTCCGGCTCTGCCCGCCGCAGTCAAATCATTGGTCGTCCACACATAGTCGTCGTCTTGTTCTATAAGAAATTAAAAAGAGTAATAAATAATAGAGAGACACTCAAACGCCGTCTGCTTGTTTCCATTTATCACTTTAGCTACCAAGGCATCTTACTTACCAGCAAAAGGCCCCGGTGTTTGTTCTGCGTCGGCCATGACAACCACCATGGACAAATCTTCGATTACCAAGTGTCGAGCCAATTTGTCACTACCACCATGGCTCACAGCAACATCCACAAAGACGACGAGTAACAGAAACAGGATCCTCAGACAACCACTCATCTTGGGTAGCATCATGGTTGTTCTATCTATCAATCTATAGTATTGATTGCTATCATATATTGCAATGTCAAGAAGGGAGATCCTCTTTTTCGAAATTTATGTGCTAAAACCCCGTTGCGATGTTTTTTTTGCGCGAGAAGTCCCACAATTTTGTGGTCGACCAACGGCGTTGTCATTGGCATTGTACGAGTGGTACTCATTCTACTTTGTCAAAAAGGTCGCTTCTTTGCTCCATTCTCAAAAGGTCGCTCACCAGCCTCAGCTAATCTTTTTCAGTCATGCAACGCCTTTCTCGCTGAAACAGACCAAAACATTTGCCAAGAACCTTCAATTGGTTGGAAGCAAGCAGCAACAACACCTCGTCCACTTGTCATCGATCGACAGAGATACTAATAGTAACAAAGCTTTCATCTATCTATCTATTGATCAACAATCATGTTTGGCAATCTACGATCAGCGTTTAGTGGCATCAAATGCTGGTGAGTATAGGTAGGCGGCGGGGTAACAAAGATCGCTGCTCATGGCTCGATCGATCGAGTTTTAAAGTTCTGGTATCATGGACAACTCATCCTTCTCTTGTCCTCTTGTTGTTCCTACTCCACATACCATACAGCTCCTTCCCTCACGGCAAGAAGAACCCGGTTCGATTGGCCATCGCATTGACCCTTATCGCGTGGATGATTTCTGCCAATCTCGGTCGCGAGTTTGCCGTTGGCATGGGATTCATGACCACCAGTATTGTCATGCTATCCAGTTGTATGAAACTACCCCCCATGGCCATGACATTGGCCGCCATTGCGTCGTTGGCCAATGCGGGATCGCACTTTACGGCCGTTCATTCCGTATGGAAGTTGCGACACAACATGGTGGGAGCGGGAAAATTTTGTCGACAGTTTGCATCCGTCACCAATGGCGATGATGACATGTATAGTGCGTATATTGGTGAATACAACAAGTACTGCAGCAATACTGTCTATGGTGTACAGGCCGTTGCCATACTGATGTGGGTCTTGGCGGGAATTACCATCTTTGTGGCATCGCCTCGGAGTGATGGTGGTAGCGATGGCGGTGAAACTAGTAATGATGTGGAAGCGGCACGGTACGCGGCCAGTGGAGAACTCGCCACAGACTATCAGAATGCGACCAAGCAACAACCAGAGCAGTATTAATTAATGAGGACAGCAGCAACAACAACAGCAACAACAAAACATTCGGGCAACATTAGTATTCAAGGAAAGAAAGAAAAACGATGAGGCACGTTTTGAAAACAACAACAACAATTATCAACAACAAACACAGGTTTACCTGTTGTAACCTTCACTTTTGCATTACAAGTCATTCCGATTCAGTCAGTCAGTCAGTCAGTCAGTCAATTCACACATGTTGTAGAGATGTAATCGTTAACGACAACCATCTTTTCAACCAGCTCAAGTCGAGTCCGTCAGCTTGAAAACAAGGATTCATTTCAGTTCTTGCTTACTTGCTTGAAAATGCTGCATGCCACTCAATCTCTTTCGTCTCGTTGCAGTAGTGGGCATGTTGCATTGCAACGAAAGAATTCCCAGCTTTCCTGACAACTATCAATGGACAAGGACTGTATGGTACTCTCGTGTCTTGCAAGCGCAGGAGTGCTTTGCTCTCGCAGATGTTGCCTCCCCTGCTGGATCCATCAATCAATCTGACATCCGGCTGTACGCGTCCAATCCTGTACAAAGGACCATTTCGTTTATACCACTTTCCTTTCATCTTGTTTGGGCTTGCATCTTGGGTGCATCTTGGTGGAGAGAAAGCACAGCGCTGGGGGCGAACAGCCCTCGTTTCTGACATTTGTACCGTGCGGTACGATCCATGTCATGCAAGCTTGAACCATTTCGTTTATGCCACTTTCTTCTTGGTTCAACCCATCACAACCGGTTTCTTTCCCTTCTTTTGCATTATTAAGGTCCCCTTGACTTTTTGGTTGGTGGTAAAGGGATTGAAGGGTGATCGTTTCGTACAACTGAAATGCTGGCTGAATGTACCGATCAATGAATGCACTAGTACCATCCATCGGGCTGCTTAATGCTGGCTACCGAGAACCAGAGACTGTTCTTTTCAACTGAACTTGGCGCGGGAAAGCCAAGGAAGTGTGGCCTCACAGTACGGCCCCTCTTTCCTAGCTAGATTGCTGAAACTGGAGCTTGAATGAAGGTCGCATACAGAGTTCCTCTGAAAACTTTGCAAAGGGCCTTGAATGTTTTATTGGCGACCACAGCCAATCTCTGACTGCACGAATGAGTGCAATGCTACGGAAAAAGCGCTTGAAGCAATCAAGCCCTTAGCAGTTTGACAGGAAGATTTGGTGCCTGGAAAGATTGCTGGTGCATTTCGTTGCACCCCCCTGGTTTGGGTCTTGTCAAATGCATGCAATTGTCATATGCCCATCCTTGTAGCTGCTGCTGGGCTGGGCGACTCAAAGAGTGGAGACGGCAAGCTTCAAACCAATGCAAATGGTTGTGTGGTAGGCATGGACGTTGAACTTTTTTTCTGGAAAAGAAATGAGCAGCAGTTTGGCAAGATTGCAAAAGAGTAGCAGTTGCTTTGTTTGTACCGTACCATTACCAGAGGGAGGCATGTCGCTGGATACTTGGTGCTTCATCCTTCAGACTGTTGGATCTGTTTGCTCAGTTATACCATCCTTATCCTCTGCAATCCAATCCACTGCAGATACGTTCGTCTTCGTACCAATCAGAACAGATACAGTAGCAAAGAGACAGCCCTTCAAAGGCTATACAGTTGGAGCGGTGACCCACAATTGGCACGATCAACCAACCCGCACCTTCCATAGCTAGAATGGTGCGTCTATACTTACATGTAGTATTCCACTGCAGAACCGGTACATGTACAAATAATTTGTCAGAACGATTGGATTGATCCTCTCGGCTCGCGCATCGGTGGTGGTACTACCGAAGCAAAAAGTATCCATGTCTCAATGTCGCTTTGGGAATCTTGCCAAGTGTTGCAAACGGAGGAGTTAACAGTCAATCTCTGGATGACGGCGCAGGGAGAACGAGCCCAGCACAGTCTCTAAATCAGCAGTTGTAATCTTACGAAAAGCTGGGTGGTATTACCACAATCGTACCGGTACCGCAGGCGTCTGCGTACAATACGGTCCCAAATTTTGATCCGTTGCTGTGGTACCGCGCCTCTTGTGTAGACAGTACTGTACCAGGTACAAGTACTACATGTAGTATGAGTGGAACGAACCATTCTCATCACATATGCATCCTCTCACAATCTTTCTTGACAAGAACTCGAGAAAGGTACTAAGCAACAAGCTATACAATAATGAAACTCAATCTCTCCTCTCTTTCTTTCCTCAGCCTTGGCTTTGCCACCATCAAGTGCTTCGCCAGGGCTGTGGATGTCGATGTCGAAACAATCGACAAAACGGTGGGCAAAGTGGTTGGCGGCGACTCCATTCCTGCCAACCAAAGCTTTCTTCGTTTCGCTCGTCGTTTGGAGGCAACGGCGGAGTACGGCGAAAACTGTGGTACTGACGGCGACTGCTTCACCGGGAATTGTGTTACCGTGGGAACTACTTCCACTTGTGACTGCCCCGAGGCGAGTGATTGCCATGGATGCAACGACAAGAATGGAAACTTGTGCCTTCGTATCGAGCAAAGCAAAGCCTATTCGACCATGTCTGTGTGTGAGATATCTGTCTGGGACTATGTCGATGATACCCTCAACCATGACCTCTTCAGTTTCGGAGCATCTCTCGTTACTGTGGGCTATATTCATCTCCTCCAGTTGGAATCGAACAATGGTGTGTGCGTGGATGTCACGCCCAATATCTCGCAGGCTGCGTCAGGTGGTGGGTTCGTCCTCGATCCTGCCGTTGTCCAAGCAAACATTGACCAGACCGATCCTGACGCTGTGTAAAGATCCAAGTCCGGAGCAGCAACCTTTGGTCGATGGATGGAGCGAACATCTTCTTGGGAGATGAATGGATCAAGACAATCGACGTGCATGACTTTAAGGGTAGCGACACCCTAGAGGTGTGGCGCCGGCCTAGAACTTCTCTCTTTTCAATCAATGAGCTAAGGAATACTGTGAAACAAGATGGAATCACTTATGTTGTCCAGGTAACTGGCAATGACCCCAGTACAAACACTTTGGATTTCCCCTGGGACATGAGCGATGCCAGTGTTGAGTTTGTCGGAATGGCCCAGGGTGGTACTGTTTTCATCAGCGGTAATCTCTTCATGCTTGGGCGTGTGTCGTTTAAGCACCTCGTCGTGGATTTCACCGGTACGTTGTCTGTGTCTTGTCGGGCTAGCTGGCTTGTCACAAAGATCCCAAAGGTATGTCATGGAAGACAACCTCACTCATCGTCTATCTGCGTCCCATCTCTCATTGTTCCTGATGCTTACCCTGCAGGAGGATCTCTGAACGTCGACTCGAAAGCTTCCTTAATCTTTCAGCACTGTTGGCTGCTGAGCTTTGATCGTTGCCCCGAAAGATACCTGGAATTGGGTGGAGTTTGCTACTTGGTCAACCCAGTTGCAGTGCCCGCGGCTGGGGCGTCTAGCGTGTGCACCGATGCTTTTTCCGAGGGATACCAGCCAGACAATTTACAACTACTCCCACATGAAGAAGCCGTGGCGAGCAAGATCCTAGGTGGCGAAGAACTGTGGATGAAGCATGACACGGCCAATAAATGCGAGACACTGGACGGATGGGGTAATCTGACCGTCTACAGCGGCGATGACTGCAGTGGGATCCCTAGAGGGGTCCTTTGTGCCCTCCCTGTCAAGCAAAGCATCACTGGACGGAACTACTCGTCTTACTATAGCAAGACCAATTTTCCCAACTGGAATCAGGCGGCAGGATACCTGGCGGACCCCAACAAACTCTCGATACAGACAGGTGCACATATCAAGGTCAAAAGCGAGGATGAAGCCTCGATTGATGGTTGGAAAGTCACTGATGGAACTGTCACGATGTTCAAGGTCTTTTTTGATGTGGTATACGGTCTCAAAACAGAACTACAAGTTGGAGTTGACTCACTTGGTCCACACTCTGCCAGCGGGGTGTGGAACCACGGATGGGTGTTCAGCAGGTAAGCACGGTACCGTACAACAATTGCTCTGGCCCCAGACTATTTGCCATCATCCTCACAATTTGTCCTGAAACTTCTAGTGGGTCTGATACGCTTCCGAGCAAGATCCACATCAAGGCTACTGCGGGTGATGTTTGCATCAGCAATGTAAAATATGGACTCCACAACTCCACTGTGAGTGTTGCATTCGGACTTTCCGTGGTTTGTCTGGTTCAATGTCTTCTGATTCTAACTCTACAGTTCTCTTATCCATCTATCCATCTTGACAGCACAAACATAGCCTTGCTGGTCGAGTCCTGCTTCAGAGTTCCTCGTTTGGTATTGACGACTGCCTTGACCAGAATGTGTGCGAATATGCATCCTCGTCCAACTGTGGTCGAAGTCTCTTGTACTATGATAGAGACCAAGACTGCGTTGTTATCAGTGCCACCAATACCACAGTGCCTACTGATTTGTCCCTTGATCTGTTCGCTACCGGGTGTGATCGTGTGACCTCGTGGCGCGCTCCAGGACTTGGCGACAACATCCGAGTGCAAATCCAAACTTTTGGAACCAACAATGAGCCCATTGTCCTCTACCATGATGAGCTGAGCCGGCATCACCGATACGAGTTCGATCCCAGAAACAATGTTGTGGATCTACCCCTTCACAATTCAACAGCGATTCCCACGGAATGGAAGTTGGAGGGTGGCAGCGGAGATTGGGTCACGGCCATCAGGATCACTCGGTATGGCGTGACAATGATGGAAATCGACTTTGCTAGTTTGTTCGGTTGCATCAATGTGTGTGGTTCCTTTGCCTTGGTAGTGCATGGTCTAGACATGGCGAAAGTTGACCGAGCCTACCTAAACTTCCTTGGAACCGAGGAATGCGGGCAGCTGCCAGAGGTCTACACAAACATCGACGGGGTGCAGCAAACTGGACGAGAGGCTTGCACAAGTCCTGTACTTCAGGTTGCCACTTTTTCTGATCTATTCTCCGTGGTCCAAGACATTCGGCCCAAATCGTGGGCCTATCGAACCGCCAGAGTCAATATCACGGCAACTGCAATTGACGGTGACAATGAAGTGCTGCTCCTCCTTCGACAACGTGGTCTTGAACTACACCACGAGCGCTCGAATGAACCTGTGTCAATCAAAGATATTCGATTCAGCATTCAACCAAAGGCTGAAGTGAGGATGAACAACTTTCAATTGACAGACGGCACATTCTTCTACACACAGAATTTGGAAGGAATTGGAAACGCGTTTCTAGAGCTGACCGGATGTGAGATTGCGGTAGCCCCTGTTTGGGTGGTGCACAACAACGGGACAGTCATTTTCAATGAATGCAACTTTCCAGACGGAGAGAAGATCTTGAACTTTGATTGGGGAACCGTGGATCTCATGTACTCAACGCTTGCTGCAACCGCTCATGTGAGCAACGCTGACTCCGGAACTATGCGGCTGACCCGAATGAAACTCAAAGAGGGCTTTCCCTACCCTTCAACGTTCTCTGGGAACTGGGAGTACCCAGATGCGCAACGTCATTATCGTCCTGTCGACCCAACAGACCGCTTGTGCCTTGGCACGTCGAACCCAAGCGATGTGCTCTCTGGTGTGTCCAGCTCTCAGTGTCAAGATTACTGCGAGCTCGGGTTTCAGTGCTCCGGTTACCTTACTTATGTTGATGAGACGGACAATAACGATTACTGCGTGCTATGTATCTCAGATGATCCCTGCGAATTTGATTGCAGCGCCCATTCAGGGGCTACCCACATGCTCGCAGAAAGCAAGCTATCGTTCGTGACTGTCACGACCGCTTGCCCAGTTCAATCTCGGACATACGATTCGCCCCTTGTGGTCGAAACTCTTGAAGAGTGCAAAATGCTGTGCTCGTTTTATGAAACCTGCGAAGGATTTGCCGTTGAGTTGAACACCATAACTTATACCTGTACCTTTCATGCCGAGCTCGACCTCGATGCAGGCTGCTTCAACGGTGCGAATGGCGGGTCCACATTCTACATCCCCTATATCAAGGAAGATACCCAAAAATTCCTCGAAGTACACGGGACCGCAGATGCGGCATTACTCGCCACAGTTTCCTCTATCGTTGGCTATGACGAATGTGGTGCACTTTGCCTGAAGACAATCGATTGCAAAGCTTTTGTTGCGAGCACGAGCACTGGCTGCTCTCTGTATGACGACAACACCTTTATTCCAACCGATAGCAGCAGTTTGAACGTGTCCGGTACGTGTGGCAAAATTGTGCGGTTCCAGTCCAACGGAAGGAATTCTCTCACCTTGATGTTCATTAACATTCCCCTTGATTCTCAGTGACATCCGTTTTCCCCAAAAACAGATACACCACCATCCATACCTGTGCACTTCCTGAACCCTACGCAGCTCCTACGACTAAGACAGAAAGACTTTGCAAAGAAAGATGCGACTCTGATTTGTCCTGTATGGCTTACATCCATGCAGCTTCGAACACCTGCGAGCTCTTTGCGAGGAGAAGCGTACAGGACAGCATTGATGTTGCGCCCAATTGTGGCAACACTGTCGCGCTCCACGTCGCCTATTCAACCGAATCCTTTGTCTCGTCATCAGAATATGACAAGGATCTTATCAAGGCTGAGCCGGCTGCCGCCTTGTTGATGAACTTCAACAGCAGTCTCACAATAGAGGGGTTGCTGAAGGAGGAATGCAAATCAGTTTGCTTGCAAAACAGAAGCTGCTCGGCCATCCGCTACACCCCGAAAAATTTCTCTTGCCAACTTGGGTGCCCCTTCCAGGATGCCACCTTATCCGAGACGGATGAGTTCCTAATGTTAGAGGCCAAGCCTGCTGATGTCGGGTCTGGTTATCTCCCAATCACTGGGATCTGCGATTTCAGCGGAGAAACCATTGATGATGTGGCTGTAGTGCATACCGAAACATCACGTGGGTTCGCTAGGTGACCTAGAGTCTGTCGCTCGGGAGATGCCTCCGTGTTACGGACGATTTCTGGTAACCCTTCCAGCTGTGGAGTAGCCTGTGACCAAGACAGCAGCTGCACTGGGTTCGCACACTATCCAAACTACGGTGAGGGCGTGAACATTCAAACTCTCATTGGTACCTGCCGCCTCCTGACGGGGGATATCACCTTCGAGCGTTGCAACGACCAGGAACGGACCGACTTGTACCTTCCTGCCGACGTTGCAAATACTTGTCAGGCTCTCTGTAATGTCCATCGACAATGCTCCTATTACAAGTGGGATAGACAAAATGGATGTTCTCTCTACTCGCGAGTAGCAATCAAAGAGGCGTGTCAAGATGCCAACGTTGGGGCTACCATCCATGTTGGCCTCAAGTACCTCGATCGAGACAAATTCGTAAAGGTAGATGGTGAATGTCTGGTCGATGTTGAAGAAGAGGTTGCCTTGGAAGGCTGCTATGCCGGTGAAGATTACAGCGATGCAGCACTGGGGCTACAGTCTCAAAGTCTGACAGAGTTGACCCCGTTTGCTTGTCGAGCCGCCTGCCGGAATGGGAACATGCCTTTCTTCGCATTGCTGGCCGGGGTATGCCAATGCACCGATGTGGACTTGACCAAGAGCACTCTTCTGACCAAGGAAAGCTACTTGAACTGCAGGGTGCCCTGTTCGGGTAACCCTAAAAAGTACTGCGGAGGTGTCGATGCGCTTTCCGTAGGGCGATCAAATCTTCCATTGGGTGGTCTCAAGCTAAGTCAATGCAAAAGATCTTGCCAGGGGACACGTGACTGTATTGCCATCGTCTTTGACGACACTCTCGTCACAAGTACATGTGAATTGCATGCTTCAGCAGCCTTCGAGTCTTGTTCCTCTGCACAAACGAGCACTCTGTACATCGAGAGTATCGAACACACCTTTCAAAAGGCAAGTGCCCCGTTCTTAGGAGACACAGTGTTGTACACGACAACAGCCTCTTCATCAGGGTGCCAACGGGTTTGCGACGCATTTGATGGTTGCCATGCCATCTTTGTGAAGAGTGCCGGCACCATTGACAACTGTGAGATAAGAGGTGGAGCTGCAGTACTCGATTGGGACTCATCTGCATGGGATGGAGGCAGCGTGCTTGTGGCGAACGATTTGGCACTTTTTACCCAGGCCAATGACTTGCCCCTACCAAGTGGAGACTCATTGGCCACTTTCTCGGATGTATTCGATTTGGATGAATGCAAATCCTTGTGCCATCACAGAGAGGCTTGCGATTCGTTGTTTTTTCAGAACCAAATATGCAACTTGTATTCAGCCGCTTCCTCTCCCAATGTTTCAATATCCACGACGTCGAATCAAGTACAGCAACCATACTACGTCAACTACGAAACATTCTTTGCAGCCAAACGAAACTTCGCCATGGTCGACGGCTTTTGTGTGCTTGGGACAGCTGTGGTCGATCTACCCTTGCTTGGGTTGGCCGGTCAGTGCGCCACCGAATGCGCAACGTTGACAGGATGTCAGCTCTTCACGTTCAGCCAATCGTCGGGCTGCTCTTTATACGATGACTCTGCAAGCCTTTACGACTGTTCGTCAACAAGTATACAGGCATTCGTACTCTATACGCCTGGCAAGTTCACCAAGCGACAAAACGGGTTCCTCGTCGATGAGAGCAGCATCGCGAGCAAGACCTATGGAAGCATCTCCCTACCAGAATGTGCTTCACTTTGTGATAGGCACTATGATTGCCTATCTTACAGGTTTGACGAGACCACTTTTGGCTGCTTGTTGCTCGCATCGGACCAGGTATGTACAGGAGTTGCATCTTTCCCCCTTCTGGCACCAGTACCAGTTTACCAACATCGACAATGTGCTTTGCCTTCAACTCCAGTTCTACAAAGACGTCACACAGACAAGCCAAACTGGGGAGTTGTTCACGTACTTTAGCGAGTTTGCATACGTAAGCATGCCACCGGGTTTCTGTGTGAGCACAACAGCGGAGCAGACCGTCACGGGCATGCATTTAGAGGCTTGTAAGAAGATCTGCGACCTTATGGACGACGTGTGTGTCAGCTTTGAGTATGCGGAAGCCGATGGGACCTGTTATTTCTTCAGTTCAAGCTCCTTCTCTGATCAATGTTCAACCACTAACGGCAGGACTTTGTACCTGAGTAAGAGCCAATGTTCGGTCGATCACAGCATCAATCCTTTGTTTCTAACTTTTTCTCCCCTCATTGAAAGGTTACGAATATTTGGACAATCGTGGGGACATTGTCTACCTTTATGAATCTCTTTTCAATTGTTTCGACAACGCAACGTCCAATTCCACCAATGCCTTTACAATCGAGCAATGTCAGGAAGATTGCAGCATTACAGAGGAGTGTTTCGCTGCCCAGTACGATGAGACGTTCGATCCTGCATGTAATCTGTTCCTTGGCATCGACCTCCCGATTCAGGTGGAGTGTGAGAATACGACAAGAACCTACCTGCGAGTGGAAGCAGACCCGTACAAACTGATGAACCATACTTGCCTTCGCAACCACATTGCTTTCGGGACCCGCTTGTATAACTTGGAGGAAATTGAGGTACGTGCTGGGTACGTTTCCGATGTCCCCTTCTGCAGCAAAGCTCAGGCTCACCCTTGAAATTCATAGTGCCAAGCGCTGTGCGACGCCGAGCCAAACTGCCGCTACTTTCTCCATGGCAAAGATACCGGATCGTCTGACTTTCTTCCAAGAGAATGTGTCTTGTTCGAAGCTCAACATGAGGAACTCGATGATTGCGATGACACCAACTATGCGTATCCTCAGTATCGAGACAAGCCCGCAGTTGTCAACGGAAGGACGTTCGTTGACCAAATTAGCTATTTTGGGAAGCCAGAGGAAGAAGTCGCCGTTGTGGAGGGTCTCACTTACCAAGAGTGTGCCGCCTTGTGCGACAAGCTAGACGACTCTTGTTTTGCCTTCCAGCACACTTGGAACTATCGCAAGTATTCCGCAGCAACAACAGAGCGCCTCTCTTCACAAAGGAAAGGATTCTGGCTGGCAACTTCGAGGACGGGGATGTGGGTTACTATTTGCAGCCTGGGATGAATTACGAGACATTGGAGTTTGCGCGTGCCGATGATGACCGGGCTGTCAGAAGACAGGTAAGTTCACGACACTCATGACACCTTTGGGATGGCTGCACGCCGATCTCATGTCGTTTAATACTTCTCCCAGTCAATGGCGTTTGACGATGGCCACATTGAGTTCACAGCCAATGCTGGGTATTGTGTTGCTGGCGGCTCTTTCACAGCTGTCAGTGGTGATGACTTGGAGGACGTTCGGAACGCGATCGGGAATCAAAATGCACTTCCTTCGTGTCAAAAGCTTGGGTTCGCCCCTTGTTCAGATTCTACAGTTATTACATTCTTAGAGGATGTTGCAGCCAATGACAGATTGAGGCTGAAATATTCTGAGCCCAACGGGGGTGGCGAAAACGGATGCTTGAGAGCCTTGCGTCCTCCCCACAAGATCGGAGATGACGACTTCACCTTCACAACCACCCCAGAGAACAGAGCAGTTCCGAGTTTTCTCAGCTCAATCTTGGAGCAGTATGCGCCAACCGATCCCGGGTCAAATTGTTACAGAAACGATGACGCTGAGGTAATTTCAAGGTCCTACAGCGATGGCTGTGGGTTTGACGACTCAACAGAATTCAAGAGCGAGTATTTCAACCTTGTGTCGAATCCGGTCACGTTGCAACATCGCGATACCGGCGACTGCCTAAATCTTGACATGCGGATGGCCGAGTGTCGGCGTGTGGACAAAGGATGGGGTACCAGGTGGGTGTACGCCTTCCCAGCAGGCGGCGTCTCCACAGGTGGTGAGGTTTACTTCGAGACCAAGCTCGGAGTTCAATTCTGTCTCACTCGACCACCACTTGGTACTACCGGTAGCTTGGATGCAGTGAGATGTGACAGCACAGACGAAAGCCTGTCTGCCAGACAACGTTGGATATACAACAGCGCTGCAGGTACATTGGAAGATCCTTCCAATCCTTCCGGGGGTTGTCTTGCATACGTTGAAGGAAATGGCAACCCCACTCTTGAAGATTGTGGCTCAACTGGAGCCCAGTGGGTTCAGTATACCAAGTGTCATCTGAACACATATGAGAGATCTGAACAAATGAAGTTGCAGGCCATTGAAGGTGGCCAATGCCTCAGTGCCAACGGCAACAACCTCGTGGCGTGTAATGGTGCAAGTGTTGGCTCTTACCAGTTCTTCTACCGTCCAACGAATGAGAGTCGAATGGAGTTGGCTGACAGTGACCAGTGTTGGGGCAAAGTACCAGACGAGGACATTGACAGTCTGGTATACTTTCCCACGGGCTTGCTTCCATGTGATCAAGATGACGATGAAGATGCACGCGTGAACTGGCTGATGACCTGGGGTGACGAGGACTTCAATGTCCTCCAGTGGCAACACGCGAACGGCACTGTCTACTGCTACGATGTAGGCCAGGAGGAGCAGAGAGAATGTAGTTCTGATCTCAGTACTGAGAGACACTGGCGGGAGTACTCCTCCGACACATACCCCGACTACGCAATGATCTCCGTTCGCCCTGGCGCACTCGTTCAGGAGTTCGACGCAGAGCTTCAGTATCAGTTCTTTCTATATTCTCCGCAGGGATATCAGGCACGACTCCTACTCGCCCGCTTCGCGCAACTGGAGGAAGCTGTTGAGTTGCTGTTACCTATTATTTCGCAGACAAAAGAATTGGTACAGGACTGCCTTGATCTCACCGCCACGGTAAGATACCACACTATTTGCCTTGAGACAGACTCCTTCGCTAATGCTTTCTGAACAAATGTTTCTGGTTCCTTCCGACGAACAGGTTACTGAGCCTATTGAGGAGGTCGAAGGCCACCTGGACGAAGGAGAGAGCTTCTTTTCGATGGTTGCAACAGTCCTCATGCCTTTGGAACAGATCCCACACATTGGGCCAGGTACGGGGACAGAAACCAATGACAAAGAACGACAAGGGAAGCTCGTGCTGCATTGAAACTCACTCTTTCTGTCCGGCTCTGCCTGTGTCTTTTGTTCCTCGCGAAGTGCTACAGAATCTCCGGTTGCGAACTATAAGCACTCAGATTAAGAATGCTTGCGAAAGAGGAAACGAAGCACTTTCGTCACTGACAGATGCGGTCGACCGAATAGTTGGCCCGATCGAAAAATTTGGAGGTGCCCTGGATACCCTGGAGGAAAAGCTTCAATCTACGATGTCTGTCTTGGACATGGTAGTGGAGTATCTCACTCGCACTTCCTACTGCACGCACGAAGCTGGCGAAGAAGAAGAATACGAACAATTGCAAGAGTGGATATCTACAATTTTGGACGCGATCAATGGCGCCAATGCTTTTGCTTCGGAACTTGAGGACCTGGTGAACAAGTTGAATGACTTTCCAAGTTTGATGGATGCGAATATCTTTGGTGCCTTCAGAGGGTTCAATAGCGTTCTCACCGAGCTCAGTAGGGTGGTCAACGCATTGTCTTTCATCGAGGTACGATCACATTAGAACGATGGCGGTTGAAGTAAGCAGGTCACGATGTGCTCACCAAGTGCGCTTGTACGTAGACTATTGGGTCTTTCACAATTGATGTTCCTACTCCCAGGTTTCGGTGGGTTTTGTTCAGAGTAAGTCATTGGGCACGGTTTGATCATTTTTGGTCAGCAAACGGACTCACAAAGCAAATTTTAGGTCAACTACGGAAGCGTGGGCCTATCGCTTCAGGGAGTGGGAAACCTCCTCAACAGAGTCCAGCGTTCTCTGAGGAACGTTCCCGGTGTTGGGGCAGCATGGCGCTGGCTGGAAAACCGAGTGGGCAACATTGTTGAGTCAGTTTTTGACGTGATTGGGATAGACCTGCCCGATTTTGGAATCGACTTCGACTTCTTGTCGGAGATTGAAGAGGATGTAGAGGAGGCGATTGAACGGCTCGCTGACGGTATCACGTCAAGGTTGCAAGTGAGTACTCGTTTCGGCAGTGATGTTGGTTGCTTCTGGGGTTGCAGGCTCACCATTTCCCAAACTTCGTCTTTCTTCTTTATGCGGGTAGATTGACGACTTCGATGATATGATCGCCGAAAAGATGTTTGATGTCATCGAAGCTATCAACACTTCTTTGCCAACTGAACTCCTGCCAGTTCTGACGGACTTCGAATGTGATATCGACGATGCTCCTTGCATGCTTGATGGGTTGAATATCAGCATAGACTACGACGACGACATTGCCCTTCCAAACATGATCTTCAACGGCGTGAACTATTCAATGCCCGAACTGCAGCTCGAGTGGCTCGAGGAATTCTGGAGTGCAATAGACGATTTGGAAGACGCCTTCACAGAGTTCTTCGATTCACCTATAGAGTGCAACGGTTACACTGACTTGTCAGTCGACTTTGCTGGCATAGTGGAGTCAGCTCTCAACACCAGTTTCGACGGTTTGACCATCCCAACCTGTGAAGTCAACTTCAAGATTTGCTCTGCCCTCAATGTGGATGAGGGGCTGGGACAACTGCGAAGCAGAATATCAGCGCTGACAAATGGATTCTTGACTTCAAATAATCGCCGTCTCGGTGGCTCTTGTAATGAGTCCGATGAATGGGGCGTATCCATCCCAGTGCCAACTCCAGCCAAGTATTTATTCACTGTCTTCAAAACAATCTTGCCGATTGAGAAAAACCGTTTCTTTTCAGAAAATGGAGGCAAGGGATGGAACTTGTATTGGAGGAAATTTCTGGGGATGGAACCATTTTCGACTCAGAAGTTCCCTTGGGACTTTGCCAAGATGGACCCCAGTCTCCGACTCGCGATTGGTTGCTCTGGCGGACAATTCCGCGCAAAGCTGTTGATAGGCCCCCTCTTCAGCCTGCAATTCGGTCCATTCAATTTCGGAGATCGTGGCGTCTTCGATTGGCACAAAACAGACTACTTTGGCAAAGCATCCGAGTCGGCACTGTCGAATTTTAATAGTCACGCTCAGCAACGCTACAAGCTGCGTCTGAAAGAGTTTGCCTGCAAGGTTGACTTTGTCTGGTCAACGTACGGTGCTGTGAAGCACTACACGGATAGTGAAGAGATCAACGACGACTCCAGCCCTCAGGAAAGACAGCGCTTTGAAGAGGCTTGGTGGTCTTTTGAGAATGCAGTAACTTCGTCTCAACTTGAACAAGTTCAGGAAGCCACCAACAGAGATGTTCTGGAGTACTACCTTGGAAGCTCGCCAGGCATTGATGCTTCGGTGGTTGAATACGAAAACATGAAGGTTATCATTGAGGGCTTGATCGCCAGGGCAGTCACAGTCCGCTCATCATTCGCCGATGTTTTCGACACGGATTTGGGGAAGTCTCAACACTACTTTCGCGAGAGGTTCCCTGACCTGGAATGCGCTGGTCCGCAAGGTCTCTTTTCGAGCTTCAAAGACGCAGTAAAAGAAATGGCAAAAGAGACAGTCAAGGGCGTCGAGGCACAATTCTTCAGCTTTGAATCTCAGGTGGCTCCAAGCATGAGTTTCGGCATAGCCCGAGAAACATTGGACTTTCGTTTGCGCGACAACAGTTCTGACGTACCCGTTGAGACGGTCAACCCAGTGACCTACTTCACGAACCCTCCGGACCTCGATTTGACCTTTTCTAATTTGCTGCCGTTGGCCAAGTTGTTCTTTCTGAAGGAGAAAGTCACTGAACGGCATAAGTGCAACAGCCTGAAATGTGATGAAGAGAGCTGCCCAACATACAACTCTATTGATGAGAGACTGGGCTCTCCACCAACCGAAGAGGAAAAACTGATATGCCCGATTGCGAAGAGGTACAGCCCGTTTTTCCACATCAGCTTTATCACTCTCAATTTTGATCTGCTGAACGACGAAAACTCTTGTGAAGTGGAAGAGGCTGCCGGTTGCAAGTGTTATGGAAAGATGTGTGTCTTCCAACCTGGACTTCAGTATGTATAATCGTTGTTTGTTGCATTCATTCTAGAGTGGTAGAATTCAAACATAACATACATGTTCATCAGGGAAGGAATGAGCTTGGAATAGCTGTACGGTAGATGCGGTACCGTTCCAATTTTCAAGACCTGGACCGGTACTCTCCGGTACCGGTCGAACATAGATAACAAGAAGCAACTGAAGAAGCGACAGGTCTGTTCTGGCTTCCGAGCGTCATCGCCGCCACAGGAAAACACCAGCTGCGGAAGCTTCCGTTATGCCACTCTGGTAACTCTGCCCCAAAAGCCAAGAACGAGAAATGACGTCTTTGCTAGCTCGAAAAGCAAACGGTAGCTAGCTACTAGAAGCAGTGACAATCGATCAGGCGATTTGTGGAATACTAGTAGCTTTGAAAACAATCTCATGTAGAGTTACCCATAAAGCTGCGCTGTCCACGTAGCCATGGACCTTCATTATATTCAAGGATCAAACGACCGATGCTGTGGTCGAGCCTTGGGCGGTGGCATCTTCTTGCTGCTGCTCGTGTTTGCCTTATTCTTCTTCTCCTTTGGTTGCATCTGAACCAGGATACTATTGGTCGTAGCAAGATCGTCCGTGGGCATGTCCTCCAAATCGCAAACCCCGTGAATCCGCATGGCCTTTCGAAAGGTTTCTTCGGCTTCGTGTCCATCGCAGGCTGCCGCTGCCGTAGCCACCAAGGCACTGGTCAAATCGCGTGCCGCCAAGCCATGCATATCTATTCCCGTCGGGGCAGATGCAGATGACGACGCTCGTGCCGGTCGAGACGACTTTTGCTGTCTCCTTTGCTGTCGTCGTCGCTGCTTTTGTTGCGACGACGACTTTTGTGACGGGACAGCAAAAGTTCCCAACTTGGGGTAGACCGATTTCTTCGTCGTGGCATTGTAATTGCGGAGCGAAGGATATACTTGACGGCGTTTCTTCTTGTTCTTGTGTTTGAGTCGTTGCCGTTTCGATCCGTCTTCCCACTCGGAGGATGAGGACGAAGAGTACGATGACAAGGTGACGCCTGACGCCGATCCCGACGCCGATGCGGCGGCTCCCGAAGCCGAAGTGGCTCCTGACGCCGATGTGGCTCCCGAAGCCGACGTTGCCGAGCTGAGGTGCTTGGTGCGGATGACCGGCGGCACGCCCAGTACTCGTTCTTCCGGGGCATCTGGTTTTCGAGGAGTTGGCAGTATCCTTCCACTTCCACTGGATCCTCCCGCGGATGATGTTCGTGCGTTTCGGCGTTTCGGATACAGGTACTCAGACTGGTGTCCAGGAGGATCTGATCTTGCCGCCGGTGGTGCCGGTGCATTTCGTTTCTTGTTCCTACTACTACTACATGTGCTTTTAGTTCGAGAGGAGGCATCGCTGGCATCGGACGCCTCGGCCATTCGAACACTGGGAGGATAAAAGGGCGAACCAGGAGGAGTAGCCGAGGCGATGGTCGGATCTAAGGCTCTAGCCGCCAATGCCGTCAACGCCGGATCCATGGTTCTTCGATTGGTCGACGTTGGTTCCCTCTGCCTGGATGTACTTGCGGCGTGTGTACGTGTATTATTCAATGTCGGCAGCGTAGCCGTACGCGCCGTGACGGGAGCACGGGCATGGGGATTGTTTGCTGGAAGCGTGGAAGCAGCAGGAGAGTTGGCACGGAGATCATTGTTGGTTGGAAGCGTGTTGGCAGTAGTTGCGCGCGATGGAAGAGTCGTCGTCGCCATTGGTGGTAGTTGTTGAGGAGCCGTAGTGTTGGCGGCGGCGGCGGCAGAAGTAGTATTCGTACTCATGGTCCCTGGTGCCATCATGGGCATGGCAAATGGCACGGCATAAGGCAAAGAAGGCGATGCTGTCATTCCCACAGGCTGATGTTGCAACAATAGAATGGGTTGTGGGTTTCCGTCCTTATCGAGCACTATAGCCTGCGTATAAATAGGCATTCCTTGCATCCCGCTGGGCAGTTGCAGGGGCATGCCATTATTATTAGGTTGCATACCATTTGGCATTGCATGATTGGATGCCGGTAAGGTTGTCGCCGTTGGTTGCATCATGGTGGGGAACATCATGGGATGGGCCACACCACTGGGATCTGCAAAGACAGGTGGAGCTACAGAAGATGGTTGTTGCTGTGTTGGTTGCGTTTGTGTAGTTGGAGTTGATTCCTTTGGAGGAGCCGCTGCTGGCATACGTATTGGTGTATGTGTGGTATGATTGGATGCCGGTAATGTCGTAGCCGTCGGCTGCCTCATGGGGTGGGCCACGCCACTGGGACCTGCAAAGGCAGGTGGAGCTACGGAAGGTAATTGTTGCTGGGTTGGTTGCATTCGTGTTGTTGGAGCTGCTTCCTTTGGCGCAACTGCTGGCATGTGTGGTGGTGCTGATTTCTTTGCTGTTGTCATTGTGGTAGGCTGCATCATGGTGGGGAACATCATGGGGTGTGCCACACTATGCCCTTTGAAAGCTACAGAAGGTGGTGGTGGTTGCTGGGATGGTTGCATTCGTGTTGTCGGCGCTGATTTCTTTGCTGGCATGTGTGGTGGTGCTGTCGGAGCTGATTTCTTTGTTGTTGTCATTGTTGTTGGTTGCATCATGGTGGGGAACATCGCGGGGTGGGTCACACTGGGCCCTTTAAAGGCAGGTGGAGCCATGAAAGTTGGTTGTTGCTGGGTCGGTTCCATTGGTGTTGTCGGTGCTGATTTCTTTGCCGTCGTCGTCGGCTGCCTCGTGGTGGGGAACATCATGGGATGGGCCACACCGAGACCTGGAAAGGCAGGTTGACATGCTTGTTGCTTCGTTGGTTGCGTTCGTATTGTCGTCGGAGCTGATTTCTTTGGAGCTGCTCCTGGATTACGTGATTGTGTTGGTGTACGAATTGTGGATTGTCTTGCCGCCGTGGCGCTTGGTGATTTTGTTGTGGCAGTTGCAGGAGTGGTTGTCGGAGGTGGATGCTTGAGCCTTGGTTTGGGTGGTTGCATGAGTGTTGGTTGTGCTTCTTTTGTTGATTCCTCCACATCAATCGCCTCCTGAGTCGTAACCGGCTGAAAGATTTTGAGCGCCGCTTGAACAGCTGCCTGCAACGCTGGTTTATCGCCAGTTGCTTGCCGAACTGTCGTAATGTGATGTCGCAACGTTTCATTTTCGTGTTTGAGTTGTGTATTGGTTTGTGTCAGTGTCATCATTTGATCATTGAGATGATCCATTTCGATGAGCTTTTTGGCGCGTTTGCGTCGTCCATTGACGCGTTCCATGCGTCGTTTCCGTTCTTCTTCGGTTTCATTCGGAGGTGCCACCGATTCCGGATCGAGTTTGTGCACATCGACCGATTTGGCTCGTTTGAGAGACACACGGGTCGCTCGAATCCGCTGCATTCGTTTATTGAGTAGAGTATTGCGACTGGTGCCCGTCGTGTGATCCACGTCTTCTTCTGTCATGATGGTGGCCCGGTCGGCTGTATCGCCGACCAAGGAGGAACAAAAGGAGACGGCCTTGGCAGTCGTCTTTTTGTTCTTCTTTTGACTGCTAGCAATACATGTAGTAGTCGCATCAGAAGTGGAGGCGCCTCGCGGACGCTTCCGACTGCTAGTTGTACCAACCTGCTTAGGGCAAGCATTTCCAGTTCGAGGAAGAGCGGGACACTTCTTGTCATCGTCGCCACTATGATCCAACACTATCACTTCGGGAGACTTGGAACGTCCTGCTACTTCTTGTTGTTGTCTTGATGCTACGCCATGATGGTTGTGTTGTGGGTGATGATGGCTGCTATTGTTGGCCAAAGCGTGTGTCTTCCACACTTCATACCGTTGCACAACACCCTTCAGAAAGGCCGAAAGATCCTCCCGATTGTCTTGCAATGGGTTGAACGTCAACGCTTGCCGTCGTCCTGCTGCAGATCGTTCTTCCATGGTGGTCGACAGTCAGGAATATTGTGGAGTTCCGTCTACTAGCTCGCTACTGGTAAAGACGAACCCAATGCTCAAGCTATTGGTACAAGCCCTTTGGTGGTTTGTCTACTAGACTAGAGCCACTACCTCTACTCGTCTATTGTTAGAAGCATGAATGGTTGGTGATGGTGATGAGTACTAGCTAGCACTACCACGGGATGTTGGTTGGTGAGTACAACCACGAGCAACTAACTGATGAGAGGGTACCAACCGGTATGCACTTGGTCGGTTTCTCCCTGTTGTTTCCATGCGCTGCTGCTCCCGCTGCTAAAAACTGGTCCCACCACATCGGTGGAAAGGACGTGTCCCTTGTCCAACACCCCAAGACATGCGGGACCAGTGAGCGGGCGGGGTTTTGTGAATGCCGCACTATGAAAACAGAGAACACCAAGAAAAGCTAGCTACTAGCAGTATAGAAGTTTGTATATAAAGGGTATGCTTTTACACGGCAATGACCAGAATGATGGAATCAATCGAATCGAATCACAACAGGTTGCACGAATAGCAGTGATATGGTTTAACACAGAATTAACAGGAGATACAATACGGAACAGTTGCCAAAGGATACACAGCAGAGGCAACCATCAACCAAGCAACCGTCCAGGAAAACTCGCCCCAGGATGTTCAGGTAATAGAAACGTTTTTATTTTAGAACTTTACCCCATCTCTTATCGCCCCATCGACAACCCAAGATCAAGTAGGCGATTTCTGCAAATAATGCGAACCAAGATCAAGTAAGTAGACTAGTCTATTCTCATCATTCTCGTCCTTGATGTGAGCATCGAAGTCAACAGTCAACTCTGCACCGTTTGGGCATTGGGCATGCATGTAACAGCATGAAACGCATCATGAGAGATCAATCAGTGGTAGATCTACTGTATCTATCTCCTCTGCAACAGGATCATTCGGTAGGTACCACCCCCTTTGGCCATTTGGATCTGGGTGGCAGCACTACGCTTACGTAGAATATGTACCGGAATGGGAAGGGGTGGGTGAGCTTCTGTACTAATATAAGTATTTTCATAGCTTGTTCGAACATCATCTGTATAACCTTACCCATCGACAGACTTGAGAAGCTCTTGGTCTCTGGGTCATCCTCCATTATTTCAAGTTGCTTGTTTCTTGGTGGAATTATCTTGATGGAGTCTCCTGCCTGGCCAAAGTATAAAGCTGGTCACGCTCATCATAATTGACTACACACACACACACACACAGAGAATATGGTTTCTTTAGAAGCTGCTGTAAGCTAATCCTGAGGTAAGATTCAATACACCTAGCTAGCTAGGTTGCCCACAAAGGGGTACCGTAACTTTGGTTACAGGCAAAATGCTGCTTCACTCGACAGGTTACCCCTCCCATCAGGATTTTGCCCTGCCTATTGGGGGGGCTAGATTACCTACGCAAAATCCAACTATCACTGAGCGATAAAAGAGAATTCTAGTATGTAACAATGTGTACTATGTCTTTGTTCTCTTGCAGGTTCCTTCATTTCGCCATTATCGGTAGTAGTACTCTCAGTGCGACTGTACGTGTGCTCGATACTCGATCGTACTGGAGAGCGTCGTCGAGTTCATCCTCCGTCTGGATGTTCACCTCCACGTTTTGGGAGAGAAAAGACACACGAGGTCGCCTACACGTACCGTAGCTGATTTCACAGCTCTACTAGCTAACTAGCTTGCAAGTCCCAGACACCACTGGCTATCGCAGTCGCCCAGGCTGCGCAATGGCGACCTGGAAGACAGTCTTTAGAAGTTCAGTAGACTAGCTAGTTGAGGTACATGTAAAGTAATAATGTCACATTTTGCAACTATTACCTGGTACCTATTTATTTATTTACCTGGTACCTGAGTTCGAATATCTCTGCAGGCCACTGCCCTCTGCCAGTGGCCTTCTTGCCTCGTTCCTTGCTGTTTGCTTATCGGTGAGTAGTTCGGAATTTCAGTTTCAAGGTGGTCCCTATGTTCAACTTTACTCGTAGATCTACCAGAATCAATGGCTTGCATGCAATGCTCCTTAATAAAAATGCTTCAGAGCCCTCGGTTTCTTCTTTTGAGCACGTATCTAGCTACCGGTACCGCTTCCTCCTTCTGCTTCGTTTTGGCGTCGATTCCCATCCACTTCCCAAACCCCAAGTAAATTGTATCAGGCGGTTTCCACCTTTCCTCCTGTTCTTTGTTGTCTTGCGCTACATGCACCTGGTGCACCATCATTGCTTTTAGTGTTTGTTTGTTGTTTTCATCTGCTGCTTGATTCGAATTACGATGAGGATAGTAGAGTTGTTGGAAGGTTCCCAGAAATGCTATTCATTTGTGGGATGCCCCACCGCTGCCAGCCCAGCTTGCTTCATCAGTACCGTACCTCCTGCTTCATCACCCCGAGCGACTTGGCAGAATCGGGTTGTAGCTCTTCTTCTTTCTCGATGTAAACCCTGGCAGAATTTTTGGTTGGCTGGAACGTACTTGTACCGTAGTGTTTCCGGTTGCTCCCTGCATCATTGGTTCTAGTTTTTGTTGCGTGTTCATTGGCTCTTTGGCTCAATGGTGACTTACTTGCTTGCTGAGGGCTAGCTAGTGGAGCTGGTAGTCGTCATTGGTCAGTGTAGCATCTTGTTGTTGCGTACCGACTCAGGTTATTGTTGTTGTTGCTGGTTGTCTGATGAGTCGGACCAGAATGCACTCTGCACAGACAAATTGAGGCATGTCTGTAGCTGGCGCAATTCAACATGTCTTCATCGCCGTGTATTCTTCCTTCTTTAGTCGCAATAAGACGAGCGGATAATCTCCTGATTCCTCATACATGTATCTTGTTGGTCTAATGCAAGTGGGTGGGCGAGACTTTTGCTGCACCTTGTATTGTAACCCGGTGTTGCCTTCGTCGTGTGCTTCTGAATCGAATCGCATTTAATGACGGTGCATGGTACCTTGAGGTACTTGGCTGCATTGCTACCTATTAGCGACCAGCCACCTGGGGCAGGGCAACAGGGCAACCAACAGAAATGTTTCGACGGGATCATGGCTGATAGTCCAAGTAGAAAGAACATCGACCCCGCATGCTAGCTAGAGCTAAAACTGCAGTGCGACAATCCTGGAAGGCAAGCGAATCCACCTCACTTGAATTCTTGACCGTTCGCTCCTACAACATGAATCGCAATGCCCCCCTGATCATCGAGTCGACTGCCCTGAAAGCAAAGCTACATGCAATTGAGGCTCAGTAAGGAAGCTAGATATCCTCATTGCCATTGATGGTGACTGACTACATGTACTGCAAGAGCTGGCAGTTGCTCCCAAAATTATGGTGCCTCGAACAAAGGGACGGAAGGCCTGTAACAGGCCCCAGAGCAAGCATCGGGAGCATTGCGGCCGCTTAGCCAGCTGGCCAGTAGAATTTGGTTCTTGCAAAATATACAGTATTCAATCGCAACCTTAGCGAATCACGCATGCGTGCTCCCACGGAAGGGTCGGACATTTTGGATTTGCTTCAACCAGCCCAAATCAGAAGCTAGGTCGAGTCAGTGGCACAATGTTAAGTGAGACTTTACTGTCCTGTTGTGTCTCGCCACTTGCAAATACGTCATCGGCACGTCATTACTAAAGAGTCTTGGGTCTGTGTAGAATTGGACATAAAGCTGTTTAACGAACTCCGAGTCCATCAATTAACTAATCGTAACTTGCGACTGTTTCTTTTATTGCCTGGGTTACCTTCGGGATAACTTGTCAGCGCAGATGAGACGCACTTCTTTACAGCGGTACTAATGTTCCTACAGTGCAATAGCTGAGCATGCAGCTGGGCAGCTGGGCAGTCCGCCATTGGTGTGTCTGACTGGGTCTCCCACTACATGTAGCTAGCTAGATGCCGCTACCAGCCACGAACACCAATCGAGTGACCTACGACTGTACCACTGCTCGGACTTCATCAGCGAGCTGCGCAGGAGCTCCTGGCTGGCTAGCTCTAGCCAGCTAGTCATGTAGCTAGCCAGCTTGCCACCAGTAGCTAGCTAGTACTAGTAGTCAGTAGCAAGCAATATTACTTGGCAGTAGATATTGCGACCCGATACCCCCTGACTTGGGCATACCTCGAGTCGACCAATACCTGCGTTTGTGTGTGGTCGAGATGACGAGCAACGGGAGCTTGCAAAGCGATGAAGAAGATACTGAAGAAGTAAAAGATGAGGGTAGAGAACAGCAGCGCCCTCAGCGCAGAACCACTGAGAATGCTACCCCGTCCGCCGCTGCGCATGCTCGTCCTCGCCACCTGGACGACGAAGATGATCAGCAGTCCCACCGTGTCGATGAGAGACTCGCTGACTATCTTCAGAGCTTGGAGGAACAGCAACAACAAGGCGCGTCCTTTCATCCGCCAATGCATGGGGAGTACGCGATACAAGCAGCCGAGGAGGCTGACACCGGAGGGTTTCTGCCACCAAGTAGGTTACCCGTCCGTGATGCTGCTTTGGATGCCAAACCTGCAGCCAAACCAAGCGTATCCCAAAAACGGAGCAGCAACGATCAATCCAAGCCACAAGTAGGTATTTGGTTCCGTACTAGGTTTGCATATTAGGTGCTTGCCTTTTGTTTCCTCCCTAAGACACACACACATCACACTGCCTGCTTGCTAACCAAGGCACTGCCTTTTACTTGCTTGCTCTCCTCTTTGTTTCTACTACATGTACATATGTATACCCGTAAGGCATCAGAGACAAAAAGGCTCAAAGCTGGTGATCCTTCGGAGAAGGAAGGGTCCCCTTCTCGCCTTAAGAAGCCTCCTGGGGATGAACCAGACTCGTCGACCGGTAGGCCGGGACGACCATTCGATATAGACGACCTGACCCCGACGGAGGAAGAGATCCGCAAAGCCACCATTGAACGCTCCAGATCCCGGACAACGGTGGACCCCAATGCGCCAGATCCAGAGCAAGACTCTCCTCCCGGTGAGACTGAAGAGGAACGGCGACGTCGGAAAGAGCGGGTCAATGGCCGCCGCAAACGGGCAAAAAAGCTCTTCCACCTGGAGCAGTTGGACGCACAGGTATTAGACTTGACCAACCGAAATGAAGCCATGAGGGCTGAAAATGATGCCTTTCGAAGACGATTGGCTGAGATTCAGCAAATCTTCTTTCATGGCGGGGTGTTGACGTCAGAGTTGTTTTGTTTGCCCCGGGCAGCACATAACCAAGCCGCAGCAGAGGCACAAGCGGACACGGGTGCACAAGCCCAAAACGCATCTGATACCAATCTGGAAGCAGCAGCAGCAGCAGCCCCGTCGCATGATGCTGCCGCTATTCTCAACAATATGGGAATTGGCGTACCACCAAGGCGATTACCTCTCCCGCAACCTCAGGCAATTGAAGGAGAAACACATGTGCTCAACCAGATTTTGATCCAACAGGCGCTCTTGAATTCCGTGAATGGTAATAATCAACAGGGGCAAAATGACAACAATAATAATTATGTGCTTGACCAACAGGGAAATTTGGCAGCACTTCCAATTTTGGGGCAGCAAACTGCCACGGAGATTATTCTGGACCGCCTGAGAGAAACAATTCCTCTGACCGCAGGAGAAGCAGAGCGTCAAAGGAGGCAGCAACAACAGCAGCCACCACCACAAAATCCAATCCAACCGCCCCAGAACCCGCAAGTGGACATTGTTCTTGCTCAACTGCGGGAATTCCAACGTAATCCTAATCAGCAGCCGCCAATTCCACCAGCAGGTCCAAGCTTGGCGGAACAAGTGGAGCTCATGATCCGCCCGCAAGGGCAGAGAGGGGAAGGACAAAGGGGGGCGGAGGATGCACGCGTCGATGTGGCACAGCCACTGGTTCCGCAGAGAGCCGCTCCTGCTGTCCCTAATAATCCACCACACGAGGGTATGGCAATCCTTGCCATGCTTCTTCGGCAAGAGCAGCAGCGGCGGCAGCAGCAGCAGCAAGAACCGCCGCCTCCGCCACCACCTCCTCCAAATCAAGAGGGGTAAGTGCGCTACTAGTTTAGTCGCCACAAAAGGAGGCTTCAGAAAACTCCCAATGAAATATAATCAATCCGTGGCCCCGCTGCACAAATTGCTTGTGCGTACGGTACACATGCTTTGGGATGTTGGGATTGATCAATGTCGTCTGAAGTTCCTCCTTGACTGGACGGAGGAGCGGAGGGTTGGACAGGAGCAAAAACTCGTCTCAACAGGCGTTATAAGATACAAGGGCTTGATCATTTTCAGAATGATCAAATGCAAACATGAGCGGTTCTTGAGATTGATAACAGCCACGGTATGAGAGACATTGGAATGCCCTGGTACGTTGATTGTTGTTGGCACTTTTGACAGGTTGGCTGCGTGCTGGCCAATTGATGGTCCTGAACCAGTTTATTTTTGTGGCCTCAAAATAGCAAAATTTGCAGACAAAGGCAGCACCAGATCATCATTCCAGAAACGTGGGCACTCTATTTTAGGCTCACTTTCGTCATACATCAACCATGCAGATGCAATCTGAACAGACAATATCAGTGGCAAGGAGGTTGAGATATGGTCTATGGCAAATCATATTACCTATACAACAATAGAGACGAGGGCAAAAGATATGGCATATTATTAGTGGAGCGGAAATGCGGTTCTGGGCCTCCGAATACGTTTTCTGCCGTATGTTCGGTACGAGTACCATACCGCAATTGAAGATATAGGGGTAGGCGTGGCCAGTGGCCAATGCCAGCACTCAAAGGCTTTGGGACAGTTCCGATCACCTATCACTCACGCTCGCCAGCGCAAGGCACTCGAAAGGGGAAGTCGGGACTGCAGTCTGCTGCGGATTTGCAAGGTGGCTGTGAAATTGAGGCTATTATCGCTCGAGGAGATGGTCAGGAGGAATTCAAAGCTGCTGGAGTTATTTTACATGTCCAAGCTTATTACGTTAGGGCCTGGAGACTCAAGCTGAGATCAGAGGGCCCTCCTTGGCAACCGAGGCATGGCTGGTTCAATGAGCGGGGGAAGCCGTGGAGCCGCGGGGCACGAAAACGGCATCGTTGATCGTCGCCCACTCTTGGGATCTGTTCCTATTCCTCTGTAAAAGCTCAATGTGAGGTGCAGGCCAACGCTAGTCTCTCTTGCTCGACTGGGGAGAGCTTGGCTCGTCGGCTGCTCACAGCGGTGCTGCGGTCCGTCCTTTTACAACTGTAGACAACACCTCCGTCGCGGACATGAGATGGAGCCGCGGATAGTTTGGTGCATTTGTAAAATAGTCCAGCCGCAGTATCGCAGGGCTTGGCCACTCGTCGGCCCTGATGGAACTCCGAGCTGCGTTCTACTACAGACAGCCTCATGACTGGCAGCTGTTTGGACCCTCAGCTCTCGATCCAGACGTAGGCTAAGATCAACAATGGTGGAACTGCGTTCTATAGACAGCCTCATGACTGGCAGCTGCCTCTCAGCTGTTGGACCCTCAGTCCAGAGCTGATCCAGACGGAGCTAAGATCAACTCTGGTGTTACTTCTTCAGCCCTTCAGGTCCCTAATGGACTGGAGAGACGCCAGAAACTCCTAATAAGTTGCATCGACCCGAGTTTTGGTCGTTCTCCACCAGAGAAAAATTGGCTGCTTCGGCTCTAGACTATCAAAGCATCGCACGGGCATGCTTTTAAAATGGAAACAACAGCTCCCTGATGTGGAATCTACTGAGGTATCCTTTCATGTCAAATCAAAACCAAAACTCAATTGTGGTACCGGTATGTTGGGGACCTGGACGGGTTCCGGACGAGATGCGTCTGGTCGACTCGACTCGACTCTATAAGGAAACAGGTATCTGATGACCCCATATCGTAGCACCCCATCGAAGGAATCACCTCCTGTTTAAGTTGGTTTGTGTGAATTGGGTCCTGCACGATCCTAGAAGTGGAGAGATTGATGTGGTGACAATCCGCTGGCGAGATTGATTCCTTCCTGAGAGAAGGATCCATTTCTTAGGATTATGGGATTTGTCGGTATGAGTCGAGTCGAGCCAAGGACGAAGGATTTGCCATGTTTTGATCGAGAAGATTGGTAATTGGGGACTGCGGAACCGGTCAGGACGTTTTATGGCGACTTGATGCATGACGGATCATCGGGCCTGATTGATGATTCGATTCCACCATCCCTGCACTTCAGCGTCTAAATGCAGCCAGCAAACTGCCTGATGGTCCACGCGGCAACTTACTTGTGAAGTTCGTCAGGGAAACGGCGGGGCTCTTTGCTGCCAATACGCAAAGGTTGCGCTGTGGATTGCCATCATCGTTTCCATTCTGAACGGGTCAGACTCCCGACTACAGTCGTACGGTATGGCAAAATTGAGCTTGCGGAAGGGTGCCAGGGGAGAACTCTGTGGGCAACAATTTATTTTCAGAGTTTCAATATCATCTTTTGAGGCCCAAAAGCCTCGGGCAGTTCCGCAGATCGTCACCACGAGTGCAGAAACACAAACCGTTTTTGTGGACGGAATCATGCAAACGAACCAGGGACCCTCCCCGTGAGCTGCAATTCAGATGATGCAAACCGAGACCCTCCCAATGACTTGATTGGGATGCGGATTGCAGCACCAATACTGAAGTTGTGAAAAGGGCTTCTGAGGATCATCCAGACGAGTGCTTCATTCATCGCTCTGCTATCCGATGATTCTGATAGAAGTTGCATAGATGTCGTTATGGGGGCACAAGTCAAGACTTTCCACCGATGTTACTCCACGGAGGGAGGAAGTCCGGAGCTCAACCAACCGCTTCCCACAGGACAAGAGAGGGCTTCATCATGGTTGCTGCCCCATCAGATTTTGGTGGTTTGGTGGGTGATTTGGGGACGTTGAGAGCTCCTATTGTCCCACATGCCGCGGCTACAGTAGGCAGCGGATTCCGCCGTGAAGCTCGGAGAAACTTTCCGTACTTGTCACTTGGCGAAATCTTTAGCTGTACCAAAAACGTGAAATTTCTCAGCTAATCAGCCAAGCAATCTACTAATAAGCACCTGGTTACAAAGCCAATCCACATCCCCACGGTAGACGAGCTCCGGCTCGATGCTTGGGAGGCCATGCAGAGATGAGAGGCTGACTGAATGGACCCAACGAGGGCTACATGTACTGATGGGCGGTGTCTTCTATTGGCGGGCAGGAACGTGGTTGTAGGCTGACCTGCGGGGACACTCCCCACCAGTTCCCTCCACGAACATTGAATTACTGATACGTTGAGGATGGAGTTCTGAATGGACCCAATAAAGACTTCTGGTACCGATGAAGGAGCTGGGTGGCGTCTTCTTGACAGGAAGGTGGCAACCCGGACATGACACCAGCACTTGGTCCGCAGCACTTTGAACATTGAGTGACGGACACTATGGAGACGGAGCTTTGATTAGGCGTTGCTCCTCAGTTGTTGCGAGAGCGGATGGGAGGATTGGCCGAATGAAGGGCACCGAGAGTGGAGGTGGGTTGGTGACGTCTCCTTCGTAGACACACTTATGCATACTTGCTAGTCAAAGCTATGCCGCAGACATCATGTGAAGTCTCTGGTGGTATGCCGAATCGAATCTGTTTTTGCACGACGGAACGAACGGGGTGGGAGTTCCTTGGCTACTTCGTTTCATTTGGACGAGTGAGTCGACTCTTGGTAAAGATGGGAAGCAAGAAGAGGTCTGTGTGGCTTCTTCTTTAGTGGACCAACATGATTGGCTGACATTTGGAGTCATATATTTGAGATCAGTGGTGTCGCAGTTGATTTTTAAAAGCTGAACGAACGGGGCTCGAGTGTCTTGGCGCTTTGTTCAGGAAGAGCTCCCTGGGAGAAGGATGGGAACACGGCAAAATGAGCACAACGTATACCAACGCCATCGCAATTCGGGTACGATACGGCTTGCAGAAGCTAAAATTCATGAACTCTTCAATGTCTAGTTATTACAGAGCAAGCACAAGTAATGCCGTATGCCCGGAGTAACCACCAATAAGCCGCACAACTACTATATGTATTGTCCAAACTGATTTACAAAAAAGGGACCCCACTCACATCCAAAACAGCAATGTAACGCGATGATAGACATGTACACCTCAACAGTCCACCCACACTTTCCCGCCCTATATGCCGAAACCCAGACTCGAGAAAGCAATCCAAACGCTCACACTACACGACATCTTCCTGGCACACACACACCAACGGCCAGGACTATCGTCGTCGCCTCGAACGTGCTTTTCGCTTTTGCTGTGATTGCCGCAACATTTCCAATTGCGGATGCGTCCGATGTTTGGCGGGACATTGCGCCGATTCGGCCGCTTCTTCCAGCCCGTCCATGACCATGGTTTCCCTCCGATTCAATGGCTTGCCCCGTTGGAGTTTCTGCACCAACGCGGTGGGTTTTTGCTTCCATTTTTCTTCGGCATCCTCATAGTCGACAAACTTTTTCGGTGGAACGACGGCATAGGAATTGTCCGTGAACCAGTACACCATGTAGGGCAATTCGCCCGCATCCAGTGCGCCGTGTTCTTTTAAATGTTTGCGCGCCGTGGTCATCCATACTTTTTGAAAGGAGGAATCCTCCAAAAAGTCAAACGGACTGGCAATCATACAAGGCAGCACTTTGCGATTCCAAGGGGCAAATCCGACGGCATGAATTTTCTTGGTGTATGCCGGAGGCAATTCGCTCGGGCGTGTGGGCAGTTGGCTGTAATCGAGAGGACCCGAGCTGGACGATGAGTCGTCGTCACTGTCATCCTCGGAACTACTGTCGTCATCACTCTCGGAACTACTGCTCTCATCCTTCTTCCTTTGGCTCTTTTTGTTCTTGCTGGAGCGATGGCTCTGAGCTTTTTGTTTTCGGCGTGACGTATTGTCGTCTTCATTGACACGCGTCTTTTTGCGGGTGGATCTTCGACTACTACTAGCCACAGACGCACTTCGTTTTCGTCGACTGGCCAAGGAAGCGAACGACGATAGTTGATTGTGGCTGGTTTCTTCACTCCTCGGAGAACGCCTTTTCTGTCGTTTCGATGCTTCCCTGCTCTCGTCGTCGTCACTGGAAGGACGAGCTCGCTTCGATTTGTTGGATTGTTTGGGTGTCTTTCTGTTTTTGTTTTTTCGGTTGCGGCTACTACGACGAGAAACACCAATATCGCTGTCCTCGTCGTCCTCGTCACTGCTACTGGACAGGAGTCCTTTGCGAGTGCTGGTTCTGCGATGATGTTTCCGAGTGGGTTCCTGATCATCCTCATCACTGTCCTCGTGTGTGGTGTGTGCTCTACTCCGGGGTCGATGATCTTGATTGTCACGGGTAAAAATCTCCGTGGGAATGCCACCGTTTTGTGGTTTTCGTTTCTTATTACGATTGTTGTTGTCATTACTGTGGGGTTCTTCCTTTTGCTGTGACGGAGGTGGCTTTTTGAGCATGTGTTTGGGGAGTCCTTGTGTGGAATTTTTCCTGTTTTGCAGACTATTACTGGAGGTGATGAGGAGATTTTCCGTAATGTAGGCATCCGACTGGTGAATAGTAGTACCGATAGTAGTGGGTGATGGCTGAAGTTGTAGCCCAGGAGCCGAGAAGGGACGATAGGGAATCAGGGATGTTGGTTGTTGTGGAGGTTCATCGTCTTCGTCTTGACTGGTACTCGGCTCTTCTTCGACAATCACAGCCGCCGTGGAAGACGATGCTCCCCGGGGGGCTGGCAAGGCGGGTAGCTCCAATTGTTCAATGGGAAGTTCCGAGACGGAATCACCTCCAGCACTGGGATGATCTGGCTGCTGCTCTCGCAATGGTTGATCCTCTTCATCATCATCCTCATCAGAATTTTCGTTGACACATGGAAATTCATTGGCAATGGCATCATAAAAGTCTTCCTCCTGGTTGGCATTATCATCCTCTGATTGCCCTACCGTTAGATCCACGCCTTCCAAAGGATTGCATTTCACAGATATCCGAATGGCCCAGAGAACTACCCACCCAACCAGTTTGGCCAGCCAACGCCACACAACCAAGAAATACTGAGAAAGCACAATCAACACCTTCAAAGCCCATTCGTCCATTCGTTCCATTACAGGGGTATCACTTGCTCCTCTGGCATTAAAAGAAGTACCCAAAGGCTGATACCCAAAAGTCGTAGCAGCACCAGTCTGATCCGCCATTATCATTCATCTACTACTACCCTAAACATTCAAGCATGCATGCAAGCCCAGAGTGCAGTGCTCCACCTTCCCCCCCAAGGCTTCCAATTGAAGGCTACAAGGATCTGGTAAGTAACAGAATCTGATCTGATCGGCTCGAATGGTTATCATACATGCACATGCACTTGCATTCTTTATTAGAAGAGTCGAGTCGCGTGGGAGTGCAGCTTTTGTGCGTAACTCGCTGAAAATGAAACGGCGAAATTTCACCTCGTTTGAATAGAATAGTACCCTGTCAGAAAGGTATTTTCGTATGACGGACAGACGACTCGGGATCCACAATCACGGTTCGTGATTGGGGATGTGTGACTCAAATCAGATGGTTATCCGATCATCATCAGATGGCCAGGTGTA